ACAAGTCATTTCTGCGTGAGTGTTCCACATGATAAAAGCTACACTGGAGGTACTGTGGGAAGGGGCTGGAGAGAGTTCTGTCACCTCCTGAAAGGCAGCACATCCCTTTCCCCAGCTCTCCCCACAGGCCTGCACACGGGCCCAGGCACGCGTCTCACCAGCTCCACCACCTCTGGGAGAATCTCTTCAAAAATACTTTTTGAAATAACCAGTATGAATGATCGAATTATGAGTACATAATCAGGTAACAAGCACTGATATGACAATTATATATTTTTAAAGTTTCAGATGGACTGGAAGATGGCTAAAAGAACTGAAGAAGTAAATATTGAACTTTTTAAAGTAGTTGGTAAGAAAGAAAAGTCTTTTGAAATATGAAAACCTAAGCATTCTTTTTTCTTATAAACTAGTCATGTCCTTGAAAATAAACCTCGCCTCTTTGTTCAGGATGTTGGTGTTAGTAACAGTTGAATATAAATTGGGGTTTCCAGACAAACGTCTTATCTTCACATGGAAGGAAGTTCATGAAGCAGGAATTGGTGTTCTTCCCCGACAATGACGGTAATACATTTTTGCGTTCCTTTCCCAGACATCAGTAAATAACAAAATACCTTTCATTTAAAAAAAGAATGAAAGCATGTTCATAGAAAATGCTTAAATCTAATCCATATGCCACTCAAAGGCTTAAAAAAGGAGATGGTTTCCATGAGCCAATTTCTCCACTCATTCTGTGCCAAATAAAACAGATTTCAGTAAAAAGCTTTTACTGCCTCAGAGGGAACTCTGTTCATTCTACAGGATATAAAGTACTATTTATTTTTCATTCGGAATTCCCAATTCTCTACTTACTGTATATTTTCCCACTCAAGCAGACTTTATCCACTGTGGGTAAGCACATTAAAAGGTAGAAAAATACAACATCTTCCCTGGATGGAAGAAATTTTGAAAGTGCTGACACAGTTCAGCATCTACATTTTATCACATTAAGAAAATGCAATTCTCATTTTTAAAAAAAGCTTACATAATATCATTTCTGGAATTCATAATTTTTACCACTAGAGAAATATCTATCCCAACCAAAAGCAAAATGACATCCCCAGGGGAATGTCGTTGAGAACTGCTAATGCTGTCAATATGGTCTCTGTGTTATGAAAAAGTTCAGAATCTTAACTCAGGCTAATTAAAGAGATGCTCTGTAGACAATCACAGGAAATAGCTTCACATTTCACTTGCATCATTTCATCATGCAGGTGTACAACAAAATAATGTATCACTTGTGCCTAAATTCCTTCTTATTAAAACTCAGCCAAAATATCATGGAGAACTCAAAGTGAATGAGTGGCATTAGAAAGTGTTTAGGAGACACAAACATCAAAATACTTTCCTTTAAAATGCTTTGCATTACAGGCTTATCAGACAGAGCTCTAGTGATATGAATGAAAAGGTCTATGGACGGGAACGGGGCGGTCTCTGAGACCTGGGCTTAAGGAGCACCCCTGGAGGAACAGAGAAAGATGATCACAGGACTGACTTGCATGGATAGATGGATAGACAGACTGAGACAAGGACAGATGGACAATCAGGCTGATAAGGACATTATGTGACATGTCGTGACCCTGCAAGAGATCCATTGTTGTAACTTCTAATCAAGATTCAGGGTCCAAGTCTCGAATATGGGAGGTACAGACTTAGTTTCTAATATATTTTAAGGAAAAGCCATTATATGAATAAGCAAAAAAGAGTTTGAACCCAAAGTCCAGCAGGGACTTGATGCTGTCGAGTTTTATGAAGCAGGGACTGGTCAAGCACCATAAAGCAGCAGAGAAGAGTCAGGAAGGGAAGTCCTGACTCTTGAGAGAATAAATGGACTTTAAGGGGGCTGTCTGTAAATGCTGGTGTTCACTGTGTGGTATCTCCCTAGGACGCTGGGATGCAACTCAGCCAGAAACATCTCAGCCTGAGGAAGAGTAACACACGCTTATCTCCACACGGCAGGGCGGAGATCCTCACATCTCAGGCCATGCATGGGGCAGGACCATGCTGCTGGGCACATCCTGACTGCTTGAAGGGCTCAGCTGCTCAGAGTCAAAGGCACGAGCCTGTCCTGGCCACCTTGAATGTGGTCCCTGCCACGCTTCAGCAGATGAGGATGGATTTAGTAAAATAAAAACTTTATTTCACATGTTTTACAGTGCCACGTTCTAAGCCAGGAAAAGGGAAGTTACTGTCAAAAAGTGCCCTCCCCCGGAAAGGGGGGATTGGCGATTTCGAATAATGTTTCGAGGCATCCGCAGATGGCTGAAGAAAAGAGGCCCAAATAAGAAAGACCAGGGAGTCCCTCAGCTGCTGAGGACAAAAGGCTCTTCCCAGTCAACACCTAATGACCCAATCACTTTCAAAGGCATTACGTTGCTCTGAAAATAACCTGGAAGAAAGAGACTTCTTAAATACAGGGCCTAGCAAAATAAATGTTGTATCATATTGAAAGCAACTTAATATGCAAAATATTTTCAGATTTCTGTGAACTTGAATTATTTTGGGCATCTATATTATGATGTATCATCCCTGTTCTCTACAAGCTCCAGATTTTTGATGAGGTAGGGCATGTTGAGGGTGGTATGGCCATAGACCAAGCTCCAGATTTTTTTTTTTTTTTTTTTCTTTTTGTCTTTTTTCATGACCGGCAACGGATCGCAACCCTCA